CTGGGTGACACAGAACTACGCTGTCGAACTACGACTGTGGCTACTGAGCGCTTGAACCGTGGGTACAGGCAGGCCCCGGTTTACAAGCATCTGACTTATGTACAACCTATAGTTACATGCCAAGCCCCATACAGTCTGTTACATAAAAACTTGCACATAGAATGGTTCATATTATAACCAGGTGCTACTTTGTGACATGCTTCAAAATCACATTAGTGTATGATGTTAAAGATGTTTTAGTCTGTCTGGAAGTGTTTCTTTAATGTTTTTTTTATGCATAGAAAGGTACACTGTATACTATGTATGGAGACAAACACTTGACTAACTGACGTTAGATACATGCCACACCTCACTGTTCAGAGTTATGTACAAACTGGTCTTAAAGACCAATTTAGGAACGGAACTCACACATAACCCGGGGACTGCCCGCAGTTCTATAGAGCCGCGCTGTGGGAAGAACCCACACACCCGATTCTGAAGACTTGGTGCAAAAAAAAAAAAAGTAACACATCTCATCAATAATTTTTATACTGATATTAAAAAAAAAAAAAAAAGGTAGCTCGGGAGTGGATGCCGACCCCCGGCGATGCCCCCGGCGATGCCCCCGGCGATGGCCCGTGTGCAGGGCACTGCTCCACGGGGTCTTCCGGCAGTGACCTGTCGGGAACAGACCTATCATCCCGGGCGCCTCTAGGGGGACACAAACCGCCAACCTTTTGGTTAGCGGCTGAGCCCACAATCTGTTTGCAACACCCAGGGACCCCGAGGCGCTTTGAGGGATGTGACAGTTGTAACAGTTGGGTGCTTTCTGCCCCCACCCCCAGAATACAACTTTTAAGGAAAAGAGACCAGAGAGTGCTGTCAAGCGAGCGCCCAATTCTGGGTTCCAGCCTCCTGAACTGTGAGAGCATAAATTCCTGTCAGAGGCCGCATGTGTGGTATTTCTGCCCTAGCAGCAGCAGAGAACCAAGGCCACGGTGCCCTAGAGCCAAGCTAGACTGCAAGCCGCCAGCACGGTGACATCGCAGATTCTCAGATTCGTGCTGAGTTAAGGCACTGTGGTCAGCTGATGTGGAACTGGCCCCAAGGCATGGCCACCCCACGGACACAGACGCTGCCCCGTCCTGAGCCATCCTCTGATCCCTGGTGTGGCTGGGTCTGTTGTCACGGTTGGACGC